GTCGGAGATAGTGATGTAGAAGCAGGGCACGTCCCAGTCCCATGGAATACCCAGCAGATGTTCGCATCCGGTCACTGGAAGAGGGGTCGTATTTGGTCCGACGGGATTTTTTTTGATAGTTGATTCTTCCTGTCTCGCGGGTGTTATCCACATCGCTAGAGGAATTTAAGTGAGGGGCAGGTCGTATTTGCTCATTCTTTGGGACAAAGAGATCCGTACTCGCTTTTGAGAGAAATTTGCCGCGTTGCGGAAAATGTTTTCTGGGAAATTTCGCGGATTTCCCGTTTCTCCCGTGCTATAGATCCCTCCGCTCGACGGCCAGGGCACATCGTTGTTGGGGAATCCCCAATAGGGGGGGGGGTCGTATTTGGCCGCCAGGAGAGGGGGTCGTATTTGGGCTGGGAAAAATTTATTTTGATAGTTGATTTTTCTCGCTTCACGGACGTTGTAAAAGGGGGGGGGGGTCGTATTTACGTTTTGGCGTTGTAGGAGTGGTGGTTGACTTTTGTTCCTGTTTCATGCGTACTGACGTGCTTTTCCCGTTTCACATGTGCTATTTACCCCCCCCCCCCCCCATTTCGCACTCCACCCGCTTCGACGGCTCGATTCGATAATGATGTGTCCTGTCGACGGCTATAATTCTTTGAGAGAAACGAGGAAGCCTTCTCGGATCCAATTTCGATGCAAATGGCGGGAAGCTTGAAAATTTGCACTCAAAACGCTGAGAACTTTCCGAACAACCTAACAGCAGAGGACCAAGTTGGGGGTCGTATTTCCGAGCGACAGCACGTGTCCTGTCTAGAAGAAGGGGGGGGGATGGGGTGGCGGAAATCGGGGCGAATTCGCGCGTCGTGTGGTATGAGGTCAAGCGAAGCTCTATCGTCGAAAATAGAGACGAAAATATGTGTACGTGATAGGACGAAAATTTTTGTCTTTAGTCTATCATTACTTTCTCTCCAGCCTAATATGTACGGTTCTTAGCCGCTACGTGATCGGCGATGCTAAGTATGCTGTAACATGTTTCTGGGACAATAACTCACTTTGTAATCTGCCAGTTTATTCCAGTCGGTCGAGTTGATATAGATATTGAAGATATTCACCAGACCATCCATGGTGCTAGCTCGAATCAGAAGCGCCAACATCATGCTAAAGGCCGCCATAAACAAAAATGGGATTACCTGAAATAACCCGTGGAGGAAAAGAACTATTAAACAATCTCGACGCTAGAAAATAGCTATCAAAGAACGCAAATTATCAATGGCGTCAGAGTGAAGACTAACCTTTCCTAGCCATCTTACGCCGAAACAGATACCAAAGAATACCATGATCCATACAAGACCTTGGGCAGCTAGCAAGAAGTACTGGAACTCTCCAAAGTCCGCGATGGAAGCAGAAGGTCTTTCCAGTGCGCTGAAATTGCACAATGATGCATTTGTGCGATGAACTGATGACAAAGCTGGTGATATCACAGTCACGATACCTACAAGCAGTATGATGTGTGACGAGGGCGTAGCTGGAAACTCAGTCAGCGCAGCCTTCCCCACCAATTGCAGTGGATGCAGGATATCGTTATTGGTGGAAAAGGCCGCCCTGGCTGCGCACCAATCCACGCTTCGTCACATGCTCCTTAGGCCGCGTTCAGACTTTGCGGCAGCAACCACCAGCGATCAATAGCGTCCACCAGCGTCCGGCAGCGTCAGCTACTAGGCAAGAATAGATACCGATCTAGCGTCTACCGGCGCTCGCCAACAACTGCCAGCGACCAGCAACGACCAGCAGCAGACTACCGGGGCCGTATGTTATACTTCCCTTTAAAGGGAGATATCTCCCAAAAATCCTCCACACTCTTATCTCTATTGATGCCCCTCGTCTCTCTGGCTCTCGCCGCTCTGCATCCATTCTCTTCTGGCGCACGCTCTGTGCGAATATAGTGCAGCGCAGAGTATAATCGATATTCTCCCCTCTCCCCCAGCTCATCTTGTTGGGGGAGGTTTTGCGAGAATGGAGATGAGAGGAGGCGAGAAGAACTGACAGAAGGTATGGGTCGAAGGAGGCGGCCATACGGCAAGCGTAAGAGAGAGATAGGCGTGGAGAGTTAAGAGGAGACGCTCAGCTAGTTGCTGGGCAGGGGCGCACTGAGGACACTCGTGATGGAGAGGCTATCGGTAAATAGGCAGTGTGCACCTTGAGCAAAGAGGGATCAACAAGTGCGCAGTATTTGCCCGATCGACTGTTTGTTCGATGGCTTGAAGAGCATATGTTGGCATGACCAATTGATACGAGAATATCATTGGACAGCGGCGAGGGGAGGATTAGTGTGGGAGCTACGTTGGGACCGTGCACAAGTGCCTTGATGAGTATTAGTCGCGTGTGAGAGACGGCGGGGGAGCGAATGTGGTGCGAGGAGAGGGTGCGCGGCGGCGATGCGAGGTGACTTGGGGAGGAGCACGTCAGAGGTGGGAGTGGGGACAACCGCCAGCGCCGGCTTAGCTTTAAGAGTTCCTGAACAACATTTTTGGCATACTTTACCTTTACCTGCCTTCATCATTCCAAGAGCGGGCCAGTTTTAAACGGCTTTTTTCTGCGTAGGCAAAATATCTAAAAATTTGTACCTAAGGTGGACCTTCTGACCATGAATATTACATCCGCTCAACTCAAAAGCTCCTAGCCGCCGATGCTAACAGGGCGGCTGACCACAATAACCCCCAAAACACCTGAGCGGTGTGGCGGGCGGAGCTCCAAGAACTTTCGGGTCCAAGTGAATGTGATATGTCGCTGTTGTTGAAGGTCCAAACTACCTCAGCGACGTCCCAACACTTGAGCAAAATTTTTGTCGCCACTAAGAGCAAAAAAGTCCGCTCAAAAATGAATTCAGTTTTCTTTATGATTCGGGGCAGTCAAGGGCAGAATAGTACCACAAATTTTTTTAAGTCATCTTCGTTCAACACTCAGCTGTAACAGTACTCATGAGTAGAAACTGTACATTCTCGGTCTGCTAACCGCCGAAGTGAATTTCTCAATATTACTCGGCCAATACGGGGAGTGACGCGTGGTCTCTCGAGAAAACCTGGAAGAGGAATTTTGCGTCTCCATTTGGGACCAATATCAAACGAAATCAGGCACACCATCGCACTCCCCTCAAACGTACAGCTATCTTAATGAGAATAAATCACTCGCCAGCAAGCTCAGAAGTCCTTAGCTCTTCTATCTCCATAAAATACAGATCTAGGTTACACATAAGGTAGGCTCACGAGAGCAATTGATGATTCATGAAGTAATGTTTCGCTGAACTGTTCTTGTGACGACAATGACACTTATTTCTCGTATATCACCCAATGTAAGAAGGCACAACGTGCAGGTGAAAAGAATTGAAAATGTTATGTTCTATTTTACACGCCTCGAGACTGGCCAGAACAGTGAGGAACACGGAGTGCTGTACAAAGGATGTCAAATAGAAAAATTGTCAGGAACTTTTGAGGCAAACCTTGAGAAGGAGAAATGAGCTGTGTGAGAACCGAAAAGAAGATGTGTCATGATCCTATAATGGTCATAGAACTATGCTCTTCCAGCAAGCAAACAGCATGAAATTAAGTATTTAAGCAACCGAACAAAACTTACCAGTAGCAGAATAATAGTGAGGGTTCGCAGTGGAGGGTTCGGGGAAAGAAGTCGAAAATGAGTTCAAAAACAGGACGAGTGTGCGTAGTTACGCCATCAGTTCGCAATTCAGCGTCTATGTTGGCGTCCTACCAGTGTTGGTCGATCATTACGAGAATCAAGGTGATAAGTGGCTTGGACGAGTTGTCCGATCCAAGAGAACGGCTGCAGGGGCTCGGTGGAGGTGGCAATTACGGCCAGCAGCGTCCCAGAAACAATATGACAGCTGGCGGGCACGCCATACGACCGCCTCCCTGCTAGACGCTGCCGTACGCTGGTAGACGCTGGCAGACTCTAAATCGATATCTATGCTTTCTTAGTCGCTGACGCTGCCGGACGCTCGGAACGCTAGTGGACGCTATTGGTCGCTGGTGGATGCTGCCGCAAAGTGTGATAACAGCCTTACGGTTCGCAGGGATCATGACTGTAATATCCAAAGAATAAACGTAGGCATCACCTCATGAACTGCATCAAAGAACTCTCGTCCCGTACCGTACTCAGTTTCGTGTGTGCTGCCAGAGTGAAGTTCGCCATGGATCCAGCATCTCTACATGGTGCGGACAATAACTCCGGAAAATACTTGCAGTTCAACCACGGCAACCCTGAAAGGCAAACAAATCAGAAAATAGAGACGTAAAAAAGCAATAATGAAGAAGAAGAAATCAGCAGCTGAGTATAGCGCTCACCTGGTCGATCTGCTTGTATCGTCCAAAAGAGATGAACCACGAATAGAAACAACCAACCAAGAAACCGCGTCATTGTCGCCAGCACAAGTAATGTGAACAGTACTTGAGAGATCCCGATGCCTGAAAAGAGTGTGATCCATGTTTAGTACCAAACAAGAGGAACTTCGGCCAATCAAGCCGTAAATGAGTACAGCAAACATTCGACAGATTTTGAGTTCGTATGGAATAAGGCATAGTTAAACAAAGTGACGTCAAGCACCAGGAGTATGGTCCAGGAGTTGAATCTCGGACGGGCTCTAATCCGGGGACACCAAGCCTTCCTTCCTCCAGGGTCCATTGTTATAATTTGAACGAGATTTTTTTTGGGGGGGGGGGGGGGGGGGGCGGAGGTAGAAACACTGATCGTGAATTATGAATCAGCTGACTCTCACAAGCCATTACCATTCTAAAGGCAAACCAATTACAGTAGTATTACGAATTTGTATGGGAGGAGAATGCATGGCTCATAAAGACGAAGCTTGCCATTACGCGACTGTTTGCGCCGCGACGGTGTTAGACTCAGATGAGTTCTGCAAAAGTAACAAATGATATTTATTTATTTATTTATTTACTAGCACTTACGTGCACCATCGACAGCAAAAAAGAACATGAATATTAAGAGCATACCAACTCAATGAATGATATGACTTTCCTTTTCGCTTGCTGATCAATAAAGCCAAAACCCGAACACCTATTGCAAGCAACCAGAAAGATCCCGATAAATTTCTACTCTTCAAGAAGTGGTTAACGGGTTGAGGTGGTGTGATGACAGATGACGCTGTTTCTACCGCGCATTATCGAGGATCAGATCCCTCACTGAATCCCTTTGAGGTGGACCAAGTCTTCCATACTTTCAGTATCGGCTAGTTAGCACGGGCTTTCTTGGGAGACTGACTTGTGCACGAATGGCCCCGCAAAAAGATAGGGCAAGATCGCATTCAAAAGTTAGGTAAAGGGCGTGGCGCATCCCAAAACGTCGGGAGTTTCAAATTTCGTTAAAGCCATATGTAAGGCACGATAATTTGAAACTCGTTCTAAAATAGTAGCAGTGGTGCTACATGGTGGGAAAATGGCGAAAAAGCGAAGTGAAGCGGTCAAAAACCTGCAAAAAGCCTTTGTTCTACACGACTCAGAAAGCAATTTTGGACGAGTTTCCCGTTGGCATCGTGCCAGTAACCGCTACGGTAGGTACGGCTGCATGTATGTACTCAGTATCCATGCAGCACCGCGGCCGCTTCATATCAATCCCTTCGCTTCATATTGTACTTCGCAAATGAAGCGATACGAGCATCAGCATCGGTCGGACATTTTGTGGGAGGGCGGGCGCGGTGGGCGTCCTGGTCAGTATGTTGCAGCTTAAGAGTACCTTCTCTGGAAAAGACGAAACCTAGCACCTGCTCAGGGGGCCCAAATTCTGTCCTGCCAGGCATATTAATCCTACACGTCTAGAGGACTTATCGTTCCCTTTGCCTTTGGACACAAATAAGAAGAAGCATCAACACAATTTGGAGTAACAGTAATCTAGAAGATGTACCTTTGAAAACAGGCGAAAGACTGTAAAACGCCTGTACTGGCGCCCGTCCAGTCAATTGACCGACGGCAAGTTCCAGTACAATAGTTGGAAGTACTAGAACAAGGAGAACGATACCATATGCGGCCACGAATGCTACTGAAAACATCAGACTGTTGATGTGTATTGTAAAGAAGAAACGTCAACAAAACGTGACTCTCTGGGGTCACCTCGCAGTCTACGCTGTCGAGGAAGACACCAAAAGTCTGGGCCAACGCCTAAAGTCGTAAGTAACTTACATCCCCCATTCTCTAAAATTAACTTTGGCAGGTTCAGGAAGTTAGTAGTGGCAAAGACGTATGCGATGGCAGCTACCATAAAATCCACCTGCAAATGAAAGTTTAGCAGAGCGTGAAAACAACTGGAAAGGCCAAATTACGGTGAAGTGAGAGGAAAAAAATTGGCGCAGTTCAACATGTGGAATGGTTATTTTGCGCTTCCGCTAGTTCCTTTTCCTAGTTGCTGTTAATTTACACGTCAAATCTTGTTTGGACCTGCAATCCCCTGTGAAGTGTAAAGAAACTCCTGGCACTGCATAATTTTACAGGAATTTACAGGTTTCCCAAAACGCATTGGCAGCAGAATGCCCCCACCAAGCCGAAGAAGTCCTTCGAAGAATTCCTGTAAAAGGTAGACACCGAGAGTCTGGGCCAACGTCTAAAGTCGTAAGTCGTCGTGATCAACGGTATCATCCTGAGGGACACATCCTCGAGATATTATAAATTAACAAATAAATAAAACATTCACTAATTACTTTAGTATGACATCCAGTGTGTTCCACACAGTTTAAGCTCACAAAATCAAAGTCAATCAACGGTATCATCCTGAGTTAATTTCTTTATGATTGCTACAATGCTGTGATTGACCAATGAATTTGAATGAACTGTGCCAGAATTTTCATCAGAATTAATGGTTCCACCAACCTTGAATGACCAGAGATCCCGCCATTCCTCCACTAGGTCTGACATCCTCAGATTTGACCAACTACGCTCTTCGAACCACATCCTGAAAGAGTAATCGTAAAAATTTAGTTCGACTATAAATGGAATGAGGCGGTGGTCGTATTTTGGCAAGTGACGACGTGTAGCACGCTCACGGTCAGGAGATCAAATCCCTGATTGGCTCATGCAGAGCTGAAACAGTCGTTCCACCCCTTGGAACAAGTTATTTCTTACCGCACTTGTCCCAAGGGGTGGAACGACTGACGACTGAAACACTGACATGTGCACTGGAAACGCCAATTTGATTACGAATGTAACAAGAATGCGCGGCGCATCACAGAATGGATGATCAGCGTCAAAAACTCCATCTGTTACTCAGAGATGGAGTCGGTTTCAAATCGATGCGGACATGCCAGATGTTGGAGAGGAAGGGTTTGGACAATGTAAACACAGAAGATATTTGGATGTTGCAACACCGTGTGCCTGCACAGCCCAAAACACGGCTCAGGTTCATGGAAGGAATACCATCGAGCGTGGGGGGGGGTCGTATTCGCTTTCGATAAAATATTTCCCAAGCCGCGAAGAAATTTTCTCAGCTGTTGACCTTGCTCGTGTTTTCCCGTTTCATGCTAGCTATACCACCTTCCCTCCACCCTCACCCCATCCCCCCCCCTTCCTAAAGACTTTGGAAAAAACATACGAGGATGGTACGCGGGGTCGTTATTGGAGGGGGGGACCGTAGTGACTCCACCACTATAACAATGCTCTTCCCTGACTCAAAGGTGAACCTTTCCCATGGTCCACCCCCTCCGAAATCATTTCGAATTTTTAATTCTAAGCAGTCGAACGGTTTCACAAATAATGAAAAAAATGAAACGTGAGAAAAAAGTGCCTACTAGACGTTAGCGCCAAAAAACGTGTCAGCGCCGGACGCTATCGGCGTACCAAACAGCCCCTTGGTAAACACTGAAGCTAAGTGTTGCCGTTATCAGCACCACAACATCAGCATTTCAGAAAATCTAGCGATAGCAAAGGGCATCTTGACGTTTGCAGATCAGTTCTTACGGATAGACCTACAATAGGAGGGACATCCAGGAATGAAGCGTTTGCGAAGCGGCTAGTATAGTCCTGTTAGATCGAGTGCTTTCGGATGTTGCTGCAGTTTCTTGTACTGGGCAGCGGATGTCTCGCTTTGCTCCATGTGAACGGCAACTCTCGGTCGTATTTATTATTCATTTACAGTTTACAACTGCATGCTTTTCGGAGCGACGGCGGTATAGTGGCAAGTGGCGCCGATTAAAACCACACGGTCTGGAGTGTCGGATCACCGCCCCGCGGAAAATTATCCCATCTTTCATTACATCGTCCAACGACGAAAAATGGTTACCAGTCTCGTCTAGAAGGATGAAGCACTGACTGCCCAGTACATAGCCTGATGTCAGGGGCAGTCTTAGCTTCCTGACATTAATTTAATGATTTTTCTTTGCTTCAAAAAGCAGTGCGGTTGCAGGCATCTTTTAGTGTTCCTCATTTTTTTTTCGAAAATTCAAATCTGAATTTCCTAAGATACGGCCTTACTGAACAGGGTCGTACGCTGCGAAATCAACTAAGCAGAGGCTTGGAGTTGGTGAGTAGAACAGAGGAGGCGGGGTCGGCATTCGCCCAGTGCGAGAAAAATGCTTTTGTTTGGTGATGTTCTCGCTTCTACATGTTCTATTGGGAATGCGAGAAGGGAGTATTCCCAAAGTTTTTCCTGACGGCAAGGTGTGCCCCCGATAGCCGTATCTAATAATGAGAAATTGAGGAAGCCCACGGCAAACACGAAGTCTTCTCACATAAGATCATCGTTCGCCTGTTGAAGAATCATCAGCGGCGTTTCGTAGTCAAAAGGACCCCTTTGAACGGAAAGCAGTCAACGAATGTAAGATATCTCTTGTATTTTAGAACTTGAGAATAAGAAAGAAATTCTGATTGAAAAGACACAGCGAATACTCATTAGGTCTAGACAGGAGGTACGGGCATAAAATGTAACGTCGAAAGTAATTATTCCGATTTAAACCACTGAGGACTGTTTGGAACTAATTGTTGCGCAAAAAGGAGAACGAACCGTTCGAGTATAAAAATAAGTAAGAAGTTTGACGAGAAAGGAACCGAACAAGTAAAATGGCCTTTACCAATGAAAAAGTTCACCGAAGGTTTGAACAAACAGGGTGCAAGAACCAAGAACCAATGGGTTCCAACAATGAATCACGTGCAGCAACTAGTCTGAGGGACAGAAAGAGACGACTTGGAGTGACATCGTGCTCAGGTTTTCCATCGTAATTCAATCGAATGTTGGTATGATTTCTGTGAAACAAGGTTGTTAGACGGAATCGTTCATTCGGTCAAACGTGAAGTCAAAGTAAGAAGTCAAGTAAGGTCAAAAGCCATGACCTCAGGCCAATGAACTTTTCACCGGATAATCCCGCTGGCAGACTTACATACATAATTCGACACCATGACAAAGTTTCAAGAAGGGATGACGTGCAGACTCATTTCACTCCGTTTTCTAAAACGTCTAACATGTAGAGTTGGTGTAGTACCATTTGATCTGCTTACTGAGTGCGCCCTCTAGGGATCCAGGCCCGGATCCCATCAGGCCAACTAAGCATTTCACCCCACTAGGAGAGTAATCTGTACCAGTTGCTGAGGATGATGAAAACGCTGATTTGCTGGCAGGATACAGCGTCGCTGTGTGAAACACATGGGGGATCGTATTCGGTAGTCGGGAGAAGGGAGGGAGTCGTATGTGCCTTCAAAAGAAATTTGCTGTGTTGAATAATTGCCCTCAAGAGAAATGTTGTGCTGCTGCTTGAATTATTTTTCCCTATTTGTTGAATTTTGAGTGATTTCTCACTTTTTCATGTGCCTACGGATACCACTCCTGCCCCCTATATTCCGTTCCCCCTTGCGTCGATGGAAAATCCTTGTGCTGAAAACTTTCGTCGAAAAGTAAGGAAATTCATGGTTGGTAGGTATTGGAGAAGAGGGGGGGGGGTCGTACCTACACCACCATTTCACACATCACGATGTTGTACCCTGTTTGCTGGTCCTCGAAGTTCCTAGTTCAGTTCATAGGCAACATCGCATTAACAGGCAGTTGGCACGCATTCACCCAAGCACGAATAATTATAACTCCTGGCAGGAAAGAATTCCGCGACCCTGGGCAGGCGCTGCATAGCGGTTTCTCCCGAGGAAGTATAAGGGCTCCTATCCAAGCCACAACTTTACGTCCCAAACGCCCGCCCACAAATGGACGACCGTTCCTGACGCTCGTATTCATTCATTTGCTAAGCAAATTATGAAGCGAAGGGATTGGTATGAAGCGGCCGTGATGCTGCATGCATACATGGGTACACATATGCAGCCGTATCTTCGGTAGCGGTGATTGGCAAGATGCCTACGGGAAACTCGTCCGAAATCGATTTTCAAGTCACTGAGAACGGAGGCTTTTTCTTCGCAGGATTTTGACCGTTTCACTCCGTTCTTTCGCCATTTCCCCACTATACAGCGCCCTACTAGCATTTTAGGCTAAGTAGGAAACCATCGTGCCAACTGCCTTTAACAATACCTGTAAAATTCTGAATCGAAGTAGGATGTATGCCGCATTCCAAAAAGGGGTTGAACAACGGCGACAGCTTTATCATTTGACTGTCACCTGTCAAACATCAATAAAAGTGTAGGTGGACCTATATTTTTGTGCTATTTTTAAACTTCCAGATGTGTGATGTGTACTTGACGCAATACTCCCTGCCCTCGCATCGCTGGAAACCTTCTCGCTCACTTTTTTGAGCTTGATTTTTACTCAAAAAAGTTACAAGAATTCCTCCTTGCGTCTCACTATTCAAGAGGGAGCTGAGCAACTTTTTGGATATTTGATTTCCATTGCAAACTCAAAATAAGACTTCTGCAGAAAATTTCTCCTTCAGAACCATTGAGTGTCCTGACAACCTTAATTTTTAGCACCACTTATTTCCTCATTTAAATCGCTATAAACCTGCACCGAGAGGTAATCGAGGGTCATGAGGACGAGAACGACTTCCATTCTTCGGCGGCGCCACTAAAAAGAACGCCATGTTGTTATAAAGGCCATACATCACTTTTACAATCTAAGTTATAGCGAAGTTGAGTTGGTAAAGCTGGCGCCTGCACCTGCGTGAAATAAAAAAGAAGTAGCCCAAAATAAATGTCATATTCTTGATCAAGTCGTCAAATTACGGCAAGTTGTAGGTAAGCGCCAAGTTTGGTGGAAAAATTGTGGTGGCAAACTGGGGCGCACAGGGTCCAAAGAGAAACGTCATGTTTCTGGCCGGAATACCGTACAGTGCCTATACATAGATAAAGCCTCAGCACTAGAAAAACTAGAACTTCTGGAAAGAGAAGGACATTTTTACCATAAAAGGAACATGCGAAGGGTTTTTTAAAGTATCATGTGAGCGGTGCGCAGCCGCCGAGCAAAATAACTTGGCTAATGCCGCATATCAGTACTGTAGAAAGCTCGTCATCAGGAAAGGGCACTGACTTCAGCAAGAAAAGGATTAAGTGTGTTTCGATGCGCCATTCCTCATTTCTATCTTACTCGACAATAGCCTCATAATGCTATGCCCTTCAGCAAGCATCTACCGCTGTAAAGTTTAATCCTTTCCAGGAAAATTCTCAACACAAAAACGCGCTTATCTTGTGGATCCAGCAAGGGCCAGAAAAAGTTCCGATGGGGAATTTGAATAGACAAAGTGAAACCTCTTTCTATCGAACTCAGAGATCTGGAACAAGATGGATGGATACCACATGTTCCTGCTAAATCGTGAACGTTCAAGAAGCTACCAGTGAACTGCGTCACTCACAACCCCCTCATAACTTGTTGTTTGAGTTATTTTCTCCCTCAAATATGCACAGGTGTGTAGCACGACGTAAGGGCAGCTTCCCATCCAAAAATTCTGTGTCAACTGACGAAATGAATAGTCCCAGACAATACTGATTTTACGGCAAATCAGCTACTTTCTCTCTGGGAGGTTCAGCTTGTA